GCGACAGGGCTACTTAGAGTATCATGTTTTTGCAGTATGCGTCTGTATCTTTTCTTCATGGAAGAAAAATATACAATCTGCTTGGATAGAGTATGTAGAGTAAAATGTCTTATAGGGACAGGAGAGAGCTGAGAGGGTGAAGCGGGAGACAGTGGTAAAAAAAAAAAAAAGGTTAGGGCTCATTATGGCCAATAAATGCTTTTCAACTGATTTTTTCAGTTTGAGTCTTGCTCTTGAGAATAAAGTGGAAGTTGGACGGATTGTAGCTTCAGCTGTAATAATGAGGATATTGCTCCGGTCTTTCATGGTGATAAAAGGAGTTGAGTTCAGAAGCAAAGCTCTTGATTTGCTACTCCATTTCAGTTGTCACCCATGGTCTTAAAGTACGGATCATGACCAGAAGAACAAGATCCTGGAATCAAACAGCCGAAATGAGTTTCCTCTGTAGGGTGTGGAGACAAGGTGCCAGTTCCTCAGCCTCAAAATGAGTCAGCTGAGGTGGTCCATGAGAGGATCTGTATGTGTTTTGTGATACTTGTGTCGTCTGTCCTGAGGCGTTTCTCCCTCGTGTAATTAGCTCCTGCGTCTGCCACCTGTTGTCCTTCCCCAGGTGTTTGTGTTTGTCCCTCGTTAGTGTGTGGCTCTCACCCATTAGTCCCAGGCATGCACACTCATGTCAACCCACAAATTGTGCTGCAGCATCTGGTCTTAGGTGACATGAGCACAGTCGTGAATGCATATCCTAACAGAGGCATGTCATAAGCAGCCACACACACCGATGCAGACATCGAGTTAAGGAGTGCAGGGTCACGGATTGCAGTATCTGCATCAGGTTCTGAATATTAATGTTTGGGGACAGATAAGCACCGTGACAATCCCTTTATGACTATACCCTTCTCTGGGTGGTGCTCATTGGTAATTTATGCTGATGTCTACCACTCGATTTATGTAAATGTTATGATTTAAATTGATTCAGTTTGTGCGGAGTGATTAGAAAGGCTCAGTCACAGACTGACTCTGGATGAAGGAAAGTTTCAGGAGTGATTTGTGACAAAAGGGTGTCAGCAAAGGTCAAAGGAAAAGTTTACAAGACAGTGGTGAGACCAGCTGTGTTGGAGATAGTGGCATTGACAAAAAGACAGGAGACAAAACTGGAAGTAGCTGAAATGAAGATGTTGAGGTTCTCCATAGGACTAAATGGACTGTACTTATATAGCGCCTTTCTATCTTATCGAGATACTCAAAGTGCTTTACACCACAATCTGTGTCCTCATTTACCCATTCATACAGCACTCTGCTAGATCTGTACAAAGATTAATCAGAGCTTTATCACATTCATACACCGATGGGACACACATTGGAGGCAATGAGGCGTTCAGTGTCTTGCCCAGGGATGCTTTGCCATGTATCTGCTGGTGGAATTGAACCCCCAACTCTTGCATTGTAGGATGACTGCTCTAACTACTCAGCCACAGCAGTGACAAGAAGTGACATGGATGGATAAGATTAGGAATAAGATCATCAGAGGTACAGCACATGTTGAAAAACTGGGTTAAAAAGTTACAGAGGCCAGACTGAGATGGTTTGGACACGTCCAGAGGAGGGACAGTGGGTATACTGGTAGAGGGATGTTAGAAATGCAGCTGCCAGGAAAAAGACAAATAAGAGATTTATGGATGCAGTTAGAGAGGACATGGAGGTAGTTGGAGTGAGGACAGAGGATGTAGAGGACAGAGTGAGCTGGAAGAGGATGATTCGTGGCAATCCCTAAAGATGGAAAAGCTGAAAGAACAACAACAAGTCATAGACTGAGTCTGATAGACTCTATAAACCACCATTAGTATTTTTTTTCCCCCTTTTTATTCATAAATATGCGGAAGAGTGGAAAAAAGTTCCAAAAATCCTATTTATTGTTTGCATTTTGTACTAGCAGTTGAATATCCTTTTGCTGCACCTGTCCAGTAGGGGGCAGCAGAAACGCTCAGCAACCATCCCACTCTCCACTTGACCATCAAAAGTGACTGACAGTGACCAAGAGTCAACCATGACGTTGATGAATGTGCTCATTTATTTAAGACATAGTCTTTCAAAAGTCACTGACTGCATAAAGTTGCGACACGCACAGCTTGGGGTTAATCAGGCTCGATCAGAGATGGAGCCGCTTGCCCCTCAACTCCTCTGGCTTCTCTCGAACATCGTTCCCTCACCTCAGACCCCTGCTCTCCTCCTCCTTCACCCGCTTCGTTTACCAAATCCTTTAATCCAGACTTCTCGGTGACCCCTCCCTTTATTCAGATGATGGGGTTTCATGTCTGCAACACCCTGCACCCCACCCCGTGAAATCTGTGGTTATGCTTCTCAAAACCGAGCTGTTTTCCTCCTGGAAGGGGGAGAAAAAGAAGAATCTGGTGGACTATTAATTAAAATAAAGATAAAATCCCTTCTTGAGCAGGAGTTTTTCAATCCCATATTTTCCAAACTGCTGTTTTTTTTAGTGTTTTAAAAAACAAACCTACAGTATAAATATATTTAATGAGAGAGGGTCATAATTTTAACATAGGGACTGCTTGTCCGAGGCTTACTTTTGAAATTCTTCGAAGGACCTGTTTAAACAAGGAAAAACTTCTGAAAACATTTTTTTTTTTTATGTTTATTGGGCCGAATAAACAAAGAAGAGCAGGTTTAAATTGAATTATTTACAGTTACTAATACACATGTGTAAAATCGGGCACCATGCACCCAGATAGTCTTATATTTATGGCTTTTAAACCTGCTTTTTATATATAGTATAGAAACATATTTGTAAATTACTTTTATTGGTATTTTACACTGTGAGCACGGCGCGTATAAAAGCTGGGTGTCTAAATGAGCTGAAACAGACTTAAATATCAACATTATTTAGATGAAGTGTTTTTTAACACACCAAAAGTAGGCAAAAACTATCTAGACCGCAATACATCCCTTAATACTGCCTTTTAGCATGTACATTAGTAACTGTAGAAAGGTTCAAAGTTCTTTATTGTCATTCACATCACATGTGATAAATAAGGTGGAGCGAAATTGTGTACACAGAAAGATAAATGAAAAAGCTGTAGTTTGCATCTCATGCTGGGCTGCCAGGTAAGAAATGATGAACTGTTGTACTGTCACTTTAAACTACTGTATTTTGACCAAAACTGTTTATCTGGCAACCCTGCGCAGACGTTGGCCATGTAGTGTCTGCATGATCACAGATACAGTCCAACTAGAGAATTCAGTAATGCTCCTTGGACCTAGGGTGTTGCTGTCTTTGTTAATGCATGCTGGAGTAGCACAAAAAACACTGCTCTCTGTTGTTACTGCAGACAGACCTTTGACCTCGGCTGCCTGTAGTGCACATGTGTGAGTGTTTCACACCCCGCGGAGGGTTCCTCCAAAAATCTCCACTTTGAAACCTGGTTAGAAACCTCTGGTTTCTTTGAGCGAGTGCTGGTGATGGTGTAGGGGCAGTTGACTCGGGACACGAAGGTCCTGGGTTTGATCCCCGGTCATTGCACATCTCGTGGTGTCTCTGAGCAGGACACTTAATCCCGAACTGCTCCCCGGGCGTTTACATAGCTGCCCACTGCTCCACAGGGGTGTATCCCAGGAGCGATGGGTTAAATGCAGAGAGTCAGTTTCGTCTTTGTATGAGAACATACATTGATGACAACACATCCATCCATCCATTTTCTTTACCCGTTTATTCCATTTTGGGTCACGGGGGTCGCTGGTGCCCATGTCCAGCAATCACTGTGCGAGGGGCGGGGTACACCCTGGATGGGTCGCAAGTCCATCACAGGGACACACAGAGACAAACGAGACAAACAACCATTCACTCTCTCACTCACACCTAGGGACAATTTAGAGTTACCAATCAGCCTAACATGCATGTTTTTGGTCTGTTGGAGGAAACCGGAGTACCCGGAGAAAACCCACGCATGCACGGAGAGAACATGCAAACTCCACCCAGAAGGCACCTGGACCGGGGTTTGAACCAGGGACCTTCTCGCTGAGAGGCAGCAGCTCTACCAGTTGCTGATGACAACACAAAGCACTTTATTTATTATTATGTTTATTGTTCTGTACACAAATATCCAAACAACACTAAGTATTAACAGGGCCTACGTTTGCTGTCAGGGAGTGACAGACACACAGGGGCGTGGTTACCATGGTGACCGTAATGAGGTTCTGGCAGCAGTTTTAACCTTTGGTTTTTTTCTTGGTTCTCTTTACACTTTTTTACAGTTTTTAAACCAAAATGTTTTTTTTTTAAATATACTACAAAGTTAATGTTGGAGTTTTGAGACCCTTTAAGTGTTTCTGAAGAAACGTGCATGTTTATTACTTTATTAATTAACAGCTGAAGTCAGTCAGGTCAACCGACATCTTCTGCTGTTTGAAGACAAAGAGGTTTCTGTGCACCTGCCGCCCGTGACGTCATTCTTTTTTTTACCTGGAATCCCTCGCGCAGCGCTTCCGGAGGGCGGGACCTTCCGCTCAAACACACACACACCCTGCACATCCTCCTCACGCGCACGGTGCTCCAGCCATACTGGGATCCAGTTCCATCGTCAACACAGCGCGCGCTCAACACGGACCCACGACTTGAAAGCCCTGTTTGAATTAAATCGGACAGATTTAAAAGAAGAAGAGGAAGAGGAGGAGGAAGGTCTTGTTGCGGGACAGGCTCGGCTACATCCAGCCCCGCATGGCGCAGAGGAAACAGCGAGCCCGCACGGATTATTAACCCGGGACAGAGGACGTTATTCCTGCACGAGACAGAGCGGCTTCAAGTTACTTTGAAGCTCAGTGGGTTCCCTGAACGCACCACCACTGCAACAAGCCATGCTGTTTGTCTCTGTGGTGAGTCCTGTGCGCTTTGTGGAGACAGCAGCTCGAGGGGAACACTAACCTGTAGCACAACCAAACAAAAACACTTTTATTATTTTTATTATATATAAAAAAAGAGCTAAATTACACGTCACCAGGTCAACTTCTTCATTCCGTACTGAGCCGTTTTCAGCCCGGATAACCGTGCGCAGGAGGATCAGGACGCATCCACGAGTTTCTTTGGTGCTGAAACCGGACGTCCAGACTCTGAGACGGTTCTGGTGACAGGATGAGTCCCGGCGCGGTGCTGCTGGTTCTTGTCCCTGCGTTCTGTCTTCTGCTCTCCGGGAACTGCCTCCCCGCGTCTCTGAGGGGACATGGAGGTGAGTGCAACCAGGAAAAAGGGACACCTGCAACTTTTACTGGAGTTTGCATCTTCCGTTTATGTCGTTTAAGCACCAGCATGTGCGCATGTGCTCTTTTGTGTGTGTGGAAGCTCATCTCTGCAGCCTGGTTGGTTTTACGCGCTCCAAGCGCATGAGCCAAGCGGCTGCCTTCACGTTTTGTTGCTGCTTGATGAACGGATCATTCTGGCAAAGAAAGCAGCCTGGTTCTCTCTAACCCTGACAACAAGTGCACAGCCTGCAGACATCTTTGAAATCAGCTTTGGAATTTAAAGGGGCAGTTCAATCAAATGAGTATTCTGCAGGATTATGAACAAATGCACAGCATGATTTTATTTTTTTCATCAGACCTCCTCTAGAGTTGTCAAAGGTCAGGATCTGCAGCTCTGTCAACTAGGAGTTCATCATCAGCAGAGCAGTGGTTTTGTTTCTGACTCTATTGAACAGCATGGTGGTCACATTGAGGTTCAAATGGATGAGTACTGGGTGAAAACCACTCTGTGTGCTGCAGAATGCTTGGCTCTCCAACAGGCTCCCTCTTTGTGCTCTGGCTGTCAGGGTCAGCGCACGCTTCCCAGTTTTCCTGTCTTTGGAGAAGCCCCCGATCTGTCACACAGGACTATTTAGTGATCGCTCTGTGATCAGTTTGTTTTCGATTCGTGTGTTTAAGTCGAATTCTTTGCAGTAAAACTCCATCTGTGCTACAGTATCTATTGCGCTCATGTTGGTTCTCTGTTCAGCGTGGGGATGTTTACACCCAGCTGCAGCCAGAAAGCTTCACAGGTTGCGTCACTCTGTCCATTGACCATCAGTCCCGGGTCACCTGACCGTGCTAATAGGCTTTGCCCCTCCAGCTGTACACGCTGCAGCTTGTTGTGCCTTTAACTCTTCCCCACCATGCACATCCATGTCGGTACTCCGGAAGCTTACTGTTGAATGCTTCTAGTTGGATCCCTGTCAGTCAGACGCTGCTCTGGATGAGAATGCAACAGTTTGTAATTTACAGTTTGAGTGAGTGCCAGCAAACGAATATGAGTGGGAAATCTTCAGTCTTCCTTATAGAAAGCCATAAATGCACGGGTTACTGATTTTGCCACAACACCACCCAATTATCTGGTTCTGCCACCCGAATGAACCCAACAGTCCAGATCATTTTCATTCCTGGGTCTAATGGTTTCTTGGGCTGCGACCGTTGGCAATAAAACTGCAACGGGGAAATTTCCTGAATTTCTCAAAAAGATTTACAGGGTTGTCAGTTTTCTTGAGACAAACTCTGTTGTTGAAAGTTTGAACATGTTCTAAAAGTTTGTGAGACGAGTTGAATTAAAGCGTAGCGCTCGCCGCTCAGCCAGCGTAGTCACTGGCACCAATTTTAGACCTTTCTCAAGTTAGTTTCTGTGTTTGAGGTGTATGTTTTGCTAAGTCCCTGTGAATATTGGCCCGGATTCTTACGAATTTTTGCAAATGTGTCAATCGGTGCAATTCCAATTGTAAATTGATGTTTTTCTCAAAATTTTGTGTCTCCATCAGTCGCTGCTTGGCATGGAAATCACTAAGAACTGGTTTCTGTCAATTTATTGATCAGTACAGGATTAAACAGAAATAATAAAAACTGATATAAAAAAATCTTCATGAATAATTTTATATTGGTCTTTAGGGTACTTTATTCTAGGGCAGCACGGTGGCGCAACTGGTAGAGCTGCTGCCTCTCAGCGAGCAGGTCCTTGGTTCAAACCCCGGTCCAGGCGTCCTTTCTGGGTGGAGTTTGCATGTTCTCTCCGTGCATGCGTGGGTTTTCTCCGGGTACTCCGGTTTCCTCCCACAGTCCAAAAACATGCATGTTAGGCTGATTGGTAACTCTAAATTGTTCCTAGGTGTGAGTGAGAGAGTGAATGGTTGTTTGTCTCGTTTGTCTCTATGTGGCCCTGTGATGGACTTGCGACCCGTCCAGGGTGTACCCCGCCCCTCGCACAGTGATTGCTGGACATGGGCACCGGCGACCCCCGTGACCCAAAATGGAATAAGCGGGTAAAGAAAATGGATGGATGGGTACTTTATTCTAAAAAAATGATTATTTTTGTGTTGTTTTTTTCTGATGCTTGACAAATTAACCCTAAAAATGAGTAAAACAACAAACTTCACTAGATAATTTATTTTTCTCCCTCAAATCCATGAGAACACTTTTTTGTATAAAACCAGTCACTGATGAAAAAAGGTTGGGGGACCGGTACCTTGGACCAGTGGTTCCCAATCCTGGCCCTCGAGGGCCACTATCCTGCATGTTTTAGGTGTTTCCTTGCTTTGACACACCTGATTTGTATGAAGTAGTTATTAACAGGCATCTGAAGAACTTGACCTGCTGAAGAGCAGGGAAACAACTAACACATGAGCATAGTGTTCCTCCAGGACCAGGACTTGGAAATACTTCTACAGATGATGGAACAAGCTTCCAGACCATCTAAGCAGATACTTGTATCACCGATCACCCTAACATGCATAACTTGAGCTCACTTTAACAATCTTAAATTGATCACTTTACATGTATATCACAACCTCACGGCTTAATTTGAGCCGGATCCTTCTTGAACAGGATCTGGTATCTTTATTATTTTGACATGGTGTGTCCTGGTAACTGTTTGCTTGGATCCGGTAACTCTCAGGCTTATTAATAATAAAGTTATGAACAAATATGACTGCCTTGAACGAATAAAAATAATGTTGGATATGTAAACTGAAAATAATTATATAAACACTCATTTTAAACACAACCGCCACTTACGAGCTTCTTTCCACATAAGAGCTGCCCCTTCAAGTTTTCACTTCAAAAAATCTCCTCCCCTAAAAGTCTAAAGTCATCACACGTTTTTATTAAAAAACTCAAAAATATATGTAAACAGCACAACTAAACCGCAAATCAGTTTGAAAGTTTAAGTGAGTTATTAATAAAATGTTGATTATTTATTAAAAATGCAACAAAAGAAATGTTTCATGCGCGTTATTCACATTACATATCAAAACAACGGCGCTAATTTGTCAATATAACAGCGACCAGAATGTCGAAAAGACAGTCCAATTTACTTTCATAAAAAAAGCTTCTCGTTGTTAGTTGGACAACCGAGCGTTGAAGCACCTGAAGGTGTAGGGGTGAGTGCCGAGCTGTTTGACAGAAGTTTAAAACAAGTCTCTCTTGTAAACGAGTCCTCGTGACTCAATGAGACTAACCTGCATAAATAAAGGTTGAATGAATGAAGTGGAGCTGCTCTATTCACGCACAAGGAGAGAGCTGTTGTTGTTGCTCTCTAAAATAGTTATTGAATCACGTGTTTACAAATGTAGGTAAACGTAGATGTTTAAAAACCCTCTAAAATACACCAGAAATGCAGGAAATCACATCTATTTAGTTAAAAAATTTCTGGGGGAGGACTCCCGCACCCCCACCCGCTACATATATTTGCGTTCTAGCATTGATCAGTTTACAAATTAAGCCCTGCACAGGCCTAAATGTTCTTCCTGATTAACCACTTTCTTTTTGGGTTTTTATTTAAACGTCAAAGTTTTTGCAAGTTCTACATCTACTATTGACGTTCTTCTGCCAGTGAGCATCTTTGTAAGGGTGTGTGTTGCTGTGCGTGGCTCGGTGTTTGCTTAAGTGGCATTAAGACTGAAGAAAGCCTCTTACGTAAGACACGTTGGCTGTTTTGGACATTTGGTCAGGGGATGACTCCGCCGAGCTCGGTTAGAGTAACAATTCAAGAAACGTCCTGCTTCCAGTTGTTCTAAAGTTAGCTGTGGAAATATTAATATTCTGTCTCGCGTCACAAATATACCTTTTATTGTTGTATATTTTGCTTCAGATTGAATTAGTTTTTTTACATCGTGTTGTTTCTCTGTCACTTTTTATATTACTATTATCTGGCCTCTGCCAAAATTTGTTCGATTTTTATCATTAGTTTAAAGGCCGGCTCACACTGTGTGATTTAAAAAAAAATATAAAGGACTTGTACATGTCATACTGTGCAAATTTGATAGTAACCCGTATCACACCGCCCTTTGTCATACTTAACCCTCCTGCTGCCCTTGTGACCTACCACGGCCTTGTGAGTCATTTTGACCCAAGGGCAGCAGTAGGGTTCATAAAAGCCATATTGTAAGATTTCTGAAAATCCCTACGTCACATAATGCATTCGATTTTTCGGCCCAACAGAAAATGGAAATTAGCTTCTGTTGACGCTTATTACATTCAGACTCATAGAAAGGGAGGCTGATAACAAGGACACAGCTGTGGACACACTTATGGCTTCCATAAAGTTGTCGGTCGCAGTAGCTGTCATCCTGTAATATTTTACCAGAACGTTTCTGACAACGCTGGATGTTTAAGTTGTCTTTAGCCATGAAAGTGAAAAATTGGCTGTTTAGAAATCTGTCACGCTGAATGACTCAAGCTCACCGAGTATTTTCTCATGATTTTGTTACATTAGATGTTTACAGAACATTTACAGTGTGAACCCAGCTAAAGTCCAACTTTGGCAATGGTCAGTTAAGAGTAGAAAATAGATTATGATAATACAAAGGATTAAAGTGTGTTTTGTGAGTAAGAGCAAAAATATCATATTATTGTATACAAAGCACATTCAAGTCTTAAGTCCATGTTGGATTGGATGTTAACACCCATTGCGCAAACTGATATAACGTTCAGAAATGCTTTGTGGCTTAAATTCTCTGTTTTTATTCTTTTAGGGATATATTTTTTCCACAATGAAATAAATTGTTTGCACTGTTCAGTAACTTGCAAAAGAGTAAAAATTAAAAGATACTGATTTTTACTGCAAAAACAATGCAATATTCTATTTAGTTATAATTAACCCTTATGTTTAATTATTTGCACTTTGACAGTTTATTGCTGTGGCATGTTGTGGTTAACTTTACTTTTTGTTTTATTTTGTAAAACTAATTCCTGTTGGTTTTCTGTCTTTTTTCAC